CGACGAGGGTGAGCGATGTAAAAAGCGAGATCACCCGTCAGGCTCTAAGAGCCGCGCATACGACGCAACAAAGGCCACTTCTCTCGAGGAGAAACACGAAAACCCAAGGCAGGGCATTAAACCTGACAATTCCCGGGTGAAGTGTTTCAACTGCAAGGGAATGGGACACTTTTCTCGTGACTGTCCACGGAAGAAGGCAGATGGAGAAGGAAATAACTCCGTGGTGGGTAAGATCTCAACAAATTTAACACCATCTCAGCAGAGTATCTCCCAGGACATAAATGTCAATCAGAACGGTACGCGCGCTGAGTTGCAGAGAGTGGCGGTGAAATGCGGCCCGAGGATGGTGCAGGCGATTATCGATTCCGGAGCAGAGATTAGCGTAGTGCGTGATGGGGTGGCGCCGGAAATGAAGGGGTCGTCCGGAAGAGTGACGCTGACTGGGGCGTTCGGGAACAGCGTGAGCGCCGTCCTGCGCCCTATACCGATGACTCTTCCCACAAGCTACGTTGGCTACGTCCCTCGAGAAGTGCCGCTCTTGTGCGCCGTCACTGAACAATTGGTTAACGGCGTAGACATGCTGTTGACGCCCGATGATTACAACAGCCTAAAATTGGCTTGCGGGAGGGTTGACTTCGAACCGATGGTTTCTGAAGCTGAAGACGCGCTTACTCACGAAGGTGGTGAGGTCGCAGACGACCACTGCGGCGCTCAGCTTCGGGTTCTACAAGAACGACCTGCCCGAGGACAAGGTGCGCGTGGGGGCCTTCGTGGACATGGCCCACTCGATGCTTCATGTGGCGCTGGTTGCCTTCAACAAGGATCGGCTCAAGATGCTGGCCACCACCTTCGATGGAGTAGGGGGCCGCGATTCCGACATGATGCTGGTGCGCTACTTTGTACAGGAGTTCAAGGAGCACTACAAGCTGGACGTCGTCACCAACCGGTGCGCCCTTATGCGCCTCATCACCGAGTGCGAGAAGCTCAAGAAGCAGATGTGTGCCAACCCGCACGACTTGCCGCTCAACGTCGAGTGCTTCAAGAACGACCGGTACGTTGCGGGCAAGATGAAGCGGGACATCTTCAAGGCCGTGTCCACCGAGCTGCTAGCGCGTGCCGAGCGCACCATGGCGTGGGCGCCGACGGTGGCCGGGCTGTGGCCGACGGACGTGGAGTCGGTGGAGTGGGTCGGGGGCGGCACCCGGGTGCCGACGGTCAAGCAGCTGGTCCGCAAGGTGTTCCAACGGGAGCCTTCGACGACACTGCACCAGGACGAGGCGGTGGCCCGGGTCGGTTCCCTGCAGTGTGCCATGCTGTCACCCATCTTCAAGGTACAGGACTTTGCGGTGGTGGATGCCCAGCCCTACCCCATGGAGCTGTGATACGACACGGGCAAGGTGTTCCCCCGCTGGCACCAGCTGCCCTTCATCAAGATGCTCACCTTCTCCCGGAGCAAGCCCTTCAACCTCGAGGCCAGGTACCCGCAGGAGGCGGTGGTGCCCCACCCGGACCTGCAGCTGGGCAGCTTTACGGGGAACAAGGTTGTCTCCGCGGCCGAGGGCGGGGCATCCAAGATCAAGGTGAAAGTGCGTCACAACCTACGCGGCATTTTCTCGGTGGTGTTCGCCTCGACCATGGACCGCAAACCCGACGGTCGACAGGCAAGTGCTGGGCGTGCAAACGGCGACCTAGCGGTGGCGGGGGCGACGAGTGGCGAAAAGGCACCCCCGACCGAGGGAGGAGAACCCGACAAAGTGGCCGAGGGCGAGCCCGTCAAGAAAGAGGACCGGCCCAGCCCAAAAGAGAAGCAGGCCAAGGCCACGGAGCTTCCGGTGGAGGTCCGGGTGCCGCAGCTGAGCGCCTTCGAGATGGACCAGCTTGTGGAGCGCGAGGTCCAAATGGTCCACACGGACCGCATAGAGAAGGAGTGGGTGGACGCCCAGAACGCGGTGGAAGAGTACGTATAAAAAGAGTGGGCCCACCTGTCGGACCGCTACCAGCCGTTCGTGGTGCCCTCCAAAAAGGAGGCCTCCCTGAGGGCCCTCGACGACACCCGTGGCTGTACGCCGACGGCGAGGAGGTTATCCAAGGGCGTGGTAGAACGTGCTGTGGGACAGTGTAAGAGCGTCTTTTGGAAGAGTTCAATGACTCAACTAGATGTGTTAAAGCTCATCGCGAGAAGGGACAACGAAAAGACTTCTGTTCCTATTTTTTTTCTTGGTCTCGTACCTGTACCTTATGCAGGTAACATACCCTTTATTCTTTTTTAAGTACCTGTTTTGAGTATGAGTATATTATGAGTGCAGACACAAGGCCGGTCGTGATAGAATTAGAGCCTTGGCGGGCACAGTAAAGGCCCGTTCACACTCTTGCGACCGAGTACGACTGAGAGAGACGAGATCTCTTACAACTTCTTAAATGTTTCTAGAATGAGGGAACATACTGATATTGTGGCGCCATCTATGCGGTGACCCTAGAACTGCATTTCACAAAAGCGAAGGTTTTGCGGGATTTCCGAGGTCAAATGTGCGTAATACCGATAGAAAGGCTCGTTTATAACATTGGCAAAAGTTTTTCGAGCCAAAAAAGAAAGGATATTGCGCGAGAAATAAAAAAAAAAAAAAATATGCCGGACCGCCGAGTTTACACTGCTTCCCGATAGATGGCGCCAGTGTGTTCTCTGGTTTAAGAAGTTTTAAGGAACCCAGGTGACCCAGGTTTAAGAGGTCGCAAGCAGTCGCAAGAGTGTGAACGGGCCTTAAGAATCACTTTACTAGCGTGTGATTTGCATATTGGTGTAAATTTCTTTTATAGTTTGGATTCTTACGGGTTGAGTCACAAACTCTGTGCAAGGTGTGTCTAATATGCGTACGCGTTTTAGTTTAGTTGTTATATATTATTTTTGACATTTTGGGTCTAAACAATATACTTAGTCGGGAGGTGTGAGAATCGGCCCCGCCATCACCGTGAGTGGACGCGGGAACAGGACCGAGCTTCATTTTCTTTCCATTGCGTGTTGGCGTTTGCACGTGTGCCCCTGTGTGTGGGTGAACTGGCGACGCTCGTGCGAGCTGGGGCAGGGGACGCTTTGAGAGGAGAAGAAGACAAGGACAGCACGTGCGGTAACCTTTGGCAGAGACATTCGAAAACCAGCTTCGCTTGTAAATACACGTGTTTTTTTTTTCTTCCCCCTATCCGCGGAGTCCTGTCTGCTTTACTCTTCCGTCAGCGACCATCAGCTGCCTCCGTCGTCGGGTCCCGGCGCAGTCTCTAAAAAAGAACATCTTCACTCTTACCTCGTCACTACACCCTGTGATTTAAAAAAAGGGGAATTAGTTGACGTTGTGTATAAAAATTAAAATAAATACAAAAATATTACAGGCTGTAACGGCGTTCGATGAAAAGGAGTTGGATGAAACGGCTTCGATGAAACGGTATTCGATGAAACGGCGTTCGATGAAATGGTGTTCGATGAAACGGCTTCGATGAAACGGCGTTCGATGAAACGGCGTTCGACGAAATGTCCGGACCCAGGATTACGCCTGTGTCGTCTGGGACCCGCCTAGAGCACGTGACAAAATAAAACTAGAAAGACTGCAGTACTTAGTCGCTCGGTTTCATACCGGGAACTATTGTATAGATTTCAGCGCAACACGCACAAAAGATATCTTAAGATGGGGGTTACTCGAAACTCGCAGAAGAAGACTTCGTTTGAAGTTGTTTCATAGCATTTATCATTCAACAGTTGGCATACAAAGAGACATGTATATAATGCTGGGACCGGACATTTCATCGAACGCCGTTTCGTCGAACGCCGTTTCATCGAAAGCCGTTTCATCGAACGCCGTTTCATCGAACACCGTTTCATCGAAGCCGTTTCATCGAACACCGTTTTATTGAACGCCGTCTTATCGAACGCCGTTTTATCGAATGACCTTTGAAACAGCGTGCAGTGTTATCATAAAAGGAAGCCGAAGAGCTTTTTGAAATTTATAAAGAGGCCTAAGGACACGGGAACAGAAAATTATACTTTGTGTTTTTGTGTCTGGGAGGATTATCTGTTTCAATTGCGAGATGCACTAAGTGATCCACTAGATATAAGTTTTGAGGTTCCTTTGTCATCCATGTTCCTCTTGGTTTTTGAATGTTTTGTCCCCCTTTGTACTGTACTGGCGCAGACGAGGAGGGCGCTGCGTTTGACCCCTTTCTCCGTTCGTCTCTTTTGCGCTTCTCTTTATCTAATTTTATTTGAAGTCAATCATAGCCGGGAAGTCGGAAGACCTTGAAGACGGAAACGGTTGTGGGGTCGTCGTTAAGAGTGCTTTTGTTTGCTTGGTATTCTTTATGTAGCCAATCCCACAGATTTCTTTATTTGTCGGTCTTTCTTTATTCATTTGGGGTGGGGGGGATTCACATGATGGACAATACAATGAACTTGTCTCTAAGCATGAACAGGATCTTTGACTATCCGCCTTTCATGGCTTAGGAATAAGGTGATCATGATTACCATGGCGGGTAACACGCAATAGAGATTCGGGAGACTACACAAGGAAAGCCAAAGCTCTGTTTCGGCGAATATGCTTACATCGTAGATAAACGTGTCAACGACAGATTCTACTGGAAATGTGAATAGTACGGCGAATGCGGAGGTCGCGCCGTCACCGTAGGGAACCACGTTCTGAAGTCATCGAAGGAGCATAACCATCTTCCGGACAGTACAAGGTCAGATCCTGCCAGGCAAGGTCTGAAATCAAAAGAAAGCGCTCCAAACTACAAGTGCACCGATTCAAATTGTTCAGGTGTGTAATGCGTTCAATAGCTGTTTAAAATGGCCTGTTATAAGATTATCACGCATTTTCTTCCTTTTTAGCAAGTTTCCAGTGGCCTGAATGCTGAAGCGCGGCAAGTGCTGCCAAATGAAGATGTCCTTCGAAAGGTCATTAGTAGGAAACGATCGTCATTGTTTCCACCGGAGCCCACCAGCCTGTCCAGCCTTGTGCATGGTTGAGGACCCCTTCGGAAAGATCGACGGGCAACGAGAGTTTCTGCAGTATGACGACACGTCTCCTCAGGGAACGCGAGTTCTGATCTTCGCCACGTCTGAGAGTCTTGGGCACCTTTCACAGGTAAATATATTATGAATAGACATATTGATAGGTCTTGCTAGGAGACTGAGATTTTTTTAATGACTACCCGTACGAATCTAATTCTTTTCAGGCGACTACCATTCTTTGCGACGGAACTTTCAAGACAAGCTTTACACGCTTCATGGGGTCAAGGAGTTTCAAGGACGAAACATCTCCTTTCCTTTCGCATACAGCTTGTTATCCTCAAAGACAGAGGACGCCTACTTGCACCTGTTCAATGTAAGTATGAAAGTGACCTCCCACTATTGGGAGAGAAGCACATTCTGTTTTTCAGCATTTTGAAAATTCTTTGATTTCTGTTGTTTCTGTTTTCATTGCCGGCAGGTTTTGTTATAAGATTGCATTTATTTTTCTTCGCCCAGGCTCTCCTTCTTACCTGCCAACGCCACGGATTCGTACTGTCCCCGGGGTTCATAATCACGGACTTCGAAATCGCCGCGATCAACGCGTTGCGACAGGTTTTCCAGGCAAGCGTGCTGCACGGATGTTTTTTTCATTTATCTCACAACGTGTACAGGCAAGTCCAGAAGACCGGACTGCAGGCTCAATATGCGAATGACGCCGCTTTCTCAAGCTTGGTGAGACAGCTGTGTGCCCCCCACTTCTTACCCCCTCATCGGATACGTCAGGTATGTTTGTCTCTGCGCTGTGGCATACCTATACATGTGGCGTGGCACTCTCTTGGAAGAGAAGATGCCTTATTAGTTTTCATGCTTTTACGCAGGATTATGCAGAAATCAAGCCCCACTTCCCACCCCAGGCAGATAAACTTCTCGAGTGGTTCGAGAAACACTACGTGATGGGGAGGGCAAGAACGCTACAGAACGGGCTGGTAATTCGCAATCCACCTCTCTTCCCTCCGAGCCTGTGGTCGGTGCAGCCCCTCATGGACCTCGGTCAGCCCAGAGGGAACAACAGCGTGGAAGGGTGGCATTCCCGCTTCCTGAAGCTGGTCGCAGGTGCCCATCCCGGGTTCTGGAATTTTTTTACTTGCATCGCCGCAGAACATCAACTGACGGAAGACAAGCTGGAGGCGATGCTGAGGTCCCAAGAGCCTCCTCGCCAGAAGGAGGCCATAGCGGCAAGAAATGAGAAGGTCCGCCTTCTTTATGAGAACCGACGGACCATGGCTGTCGGAGACTTTTTGAGAGCAATTGCTCACCATTTGAAACGGTGAATGGTGGTCGAAGGAACACATGAACCCCCCCGAAAGTTTTGAAATAAAATTTGTTGTGACGTACTTACTTTTGACTTCATTGAGTCTTAGAACTAAGAAAAAAAAATGTTTCGTTGTACTTTCGTAAATAGCACCTCAGCTTTAGCTACTGAAAGCTTCGGGCAGTAAAAAAGTAAAAATAGAAAGACATGAGAGGCTAAGAGGCTCACTTGGCTAAAGTTGTTGCAAAACCAAGTCGCCTTCTGGTTTCCATGAGTTGAAGTGCGCTTTTACCGGGAGTACGACTTTTTATTTATTTGTTACAATACCCTCGGGGCCCATCGGGTAATACAGAGGGGGTGAACAGATAAGCACGATATGCGAAACAAACATAAAAATCGGTACAAATATCTTCATGGGTTACTTGCATCAAAATAAATTGTAAAAGCTACAAGTTTGGACATTAAAAAACCTGACGATGAAATGTGTGAATGACACGAAAATGCACTCGATCCGTGCATAAAAGAGCATCTTTCACACTTTTTATATATATAAAAAAACATTTGATAAAACGGCCGTCAGCGATTCGATGAAACGGCGTTCGACGAAACGGCGTTCTATGAAATGTCCGGGAACCATATAATGCGGCCCCAATATCAATCGGAGCGTGTTGACCATAGTTTCAAGGTGCGAGAAATTTCGTTCAAAACAGAGGTATTCAGGATTTCCTTTTTTTCCAAGAATCTATGAGTAGAATCGATTGCCTCCGTCTTTGGTTGGTGTACTGTCAAATGATGACTTTTTTTCTCTGTTAGATTAAGTCTAGCTTGAGTTCTTCCCTTGCGTGGTTTATAAGCTATGTTTGTGTGTATTGTTTATAAGTTTCTATTTCCTTGTATGGTTTATATGTTGTTTGAATGATTCATCTGCCGTGGAGCAGAGGCCTGACTGACATTCTCCTTTTTTTTTTGTATGTATATCCCCCCCAGTGTAATGCCTGATTTGGCGCTGTGGGTATTGCATAAATAAATAAATAAACTAGAATCCTACGGCTTGAGTACCTCCCTTTGTTCCCTGTTTCTAGATTATCTGCCTAATAGACACAATTTTGTTCGTGTTCTTGAACCTCACTCCCGGCCTTATGTTTCTTCTTCGGGTGTGCCGCAAGGCTCCATACTTGGGCCGATCTTTTTTAATGTTTTTATTAATGATTTGAGCTCAATTGTTCGTAATTCGGTCATCTTGCAATATGCAGATGATGTGAAGTTGTTTAGGCAGATCATATCCTTGGAAGACTGTGAAAAACTTCTCGAGAATGTTTGGCGTGTGTGCAATTGGTGTCGTCAGAACATGCTTGTTAAGTTTGTAGAAATCCTGCTTATTAGTTAGGGTGATTTTTGTTAGGAAAGTTTATCTTTCCAGAGTTCCGTCGGCATTGTTTTTTTTTTTTTTTTCTTAGCTTTCTATGTTTGTGGCGGCGGTGCCAGAGCGGCCGCAATGCGGGAGTGGTTCCCCCGCGGGCGTTTCGGGTTTCGGGAGTCCGCTCAGACCGGAACCGGTAGAGCCCGCGCCTGGAGAAGCGTGTAGCTTTTAGCCGAATGTGCCTGTATATAGATGGTTTTGCCGCTTAGTGTAAAATTGTCTCTTTTTACCCGATGTAATAATTCAGCTGTTGGCGCCAGCCAGTCTGCGTAAAATGCAGGGGTTGACTCTAGAAAGAATTTGGATTTGGCGGTTGGGGCGCCAGGCTGACAGCTCGCCGACCATTGGAGAACAGTGTACCACGTGGGAGGGGTGAAATTTGAAGGGATTGGTCGGTCCCTGAAGGGAAAGGAGGCCCCTACGAGTCTACAAAAGGATTCCCAAAAGGATTCTGGAGGATTGGATTCGATTCGATTTTGGGAGACTGGGAACAAAAGTACGGGGTTTAATTTTCGGATTTTAACTCACTGTTGAGTTGTTTTGTTTCATAATAAACGTGGCCACACCGGCCACTGTGAAGCCAACCAACGTCGCAATGTGTTCAGCGGGATCGAACAACCTTTAGTATTTTTTTTTTATTATCAACTTCCTGGGGGCTGCCATCGAGCGAGCACCATCATCGGTCGTCACCATCCGGACCAGGACGCGCCCACCCCCATACCACCAGGTCCAGGCCCGGCGAGGAAGTTGACTGGCGCAGTCGACAGGATCCCGCTGACTTTCTGCGACGGGTTGCGAGAAGAACGCCACAATGTCAGCTGATGGTGAGCCCCGCCAACATCTGAGTGAGAAGACGGAGGCAAAAGCCGTTGCGTTGTGTGCGGCGGACGGAGCGGCATCCCAGCGAGAGGCTCCGGGAGTCAAGGGACTCAAGAAGGACGCCACGACGTCAGCTGATGGTGAGCCCCGCCAATATCTGCGTGAGAAGACGGCGGCAATAGCCTGTTGCGTTGTGTGCGGCGGACGGAGCGGCATCCCAGCGAGAGGCTTCGGGAGTCAAGGGACTCAAGAAGGGCGCCACGACGTCAGCTGATGGTGAGCCCCGCCAATATCTGCGTGAGAAGACGGAGGCAATAGCCTGTTGCGTTGTGTGCGGCGGACGGAGCGGCATCCCAGCGAGAGGCTTCGGGAGTCAAGGGACTCAAGAAGGACGCCACGACGTCAGCTGATGGTGAGCCCCGCCAACATCTGAGTGAGAAGACGGAGGCAATAGCCTGTTGCGTTGTGTGCGGCGGACGGAGCGGCATCCCAGCGAGAGGCTCCGGGAGTCAAGGGACTCAAGAAGGACGCCACGACGTCAGCTGATGGTGAGCCCCGCCAATATCTGCGTGAGCAGACGGCGGCAATAGCCTGTTGCGTTGTGTGCGGCGGACGGAGCGGCATCCCAGCGAGAGGCTTCGGGAGTCAAGGGACTCAAGAAGGACGCCACGACGTCAGCTGATGGTGAGCCCCGCCAACATCTGAGTGAGAAGACGGAGGCAATAGCCTGTTGCGTTGTGTGCGGCGGAATGAGCGGCATCCCAGCGAGAGGCTTCGGGAGTCAAGGGACTCAAGAAGGACGCCACGACGTCAGCTGATGGTGAGCCCCGCCAATATCTGCGTGAGAAGACGGCGGCAATAGCCTGTTGCGTTGTGTGCGGCGGACGGAGCGGCATCCCAGCGAGAGGCTTCGGGAGTCAAGGGACTCAAGAAGGACGCCACGACGTCAGCTGATGGTGAGCCCCGCCAACATCTGAGTGAGAAGACGGAGGCAATAGCCTGTTGCGTTGTGTGCGGCGGACGGAGCGGCATCCCAGCGAGAGGCTCCGGGAGTCAAGGGACTCAAGAGGAACGCCGCGACGTCAGCTGATGGTGAGCCCCGCCAATATCTGCGTGAGAAGACGGCGGCAATACCCTGTTGCGTCGTGTGCGGCGGACGGAGCGGCATCCCAGCGAGAGGCTTCGGGAGTCAAGGGACTCAAGAAGGACGCCACGACGTCAGCTGATGGTGAGCCCCGCCAATATCTGCGTGAGAAGACGGCGGCAATAGCCTGTTGCGTTGTGTGCGGCGGAATGAGCGGCATCCCAGCGAGAGGCTTCGGGAGTCAAGGGACTCAAGAAGGACGCCACGACGTCAGCTGATGGTGAGCCCCGCCAATATCTGCGTGAGAAGACGGCGGCAATAGCCTGTTGCGTTGTGTGCGGCGGACTGAGCGGCATCCCAGCGAGAGGCTTCGGGAGTCAAGGGACTCAAGAGGAACGCCGCGACGTCAGCTGATGGTGAGCCCCGCCAATATCTGCGTGAGAAGACGGCGGCAATAGCCTGTTGCGTTGTGTGCGGCGGACGGAGCGGCATCCCAGCGAGAGGCTCCGGGAGTCAAGGGACTCAAGAGGAACGCCGCGACGTCAGCTGATGGTGAGCCCCGCCAATATCTGCGTGAGAAGACGGCGGCAATAGCCTGTTGCGTTGTGTGCGGCGGACGGAGCGGCATCCCAGCGAGAGGCTCCGGGAGTCAAGGGACTCAAGAGGAACGCCGCGACGTCAGCTGATGGTGAGCCCCGCCAATATCTGCGTGAGAAGACGGCGGCAATACCCTGTTGCGTCGTGTGCGGCGGACGGAGCGGCATCCCAGCGAGAGGCTTCGGGAGTCAAGGGACTCAAGAAGGACGCCACGACGTCAGCTGATGGTGAGCCCCGCCAATATCTGCGTGAGAAGACGGCGGCAATAGCCTGTTGCGTCGCGCGCGGCGGACGGAACGGCATCCCAGCGAGAGGCTCCGGGAGTCAAGGGACTCAAGAAGGACGCCACGACGTCAGCTGATGGTGAGCCCCGCCAATATCTGCGTGAGAAGACGGAGGCAATAGCCTGTTGCGTTGTGCGCGGCGGACTGAGCGGCATCCCAGCGAGAGGCTTCGGGAGTCAAGGGACTCAAGAAGGACGCCACGACGTCAGCTGATGGTGAGCCCCGCCAATATCTGCGCGAGAAGACGGCGGCAATAGCCTGTTGCGTTGTGTGCGGCGGACGGAGCGGCATCCCAGCGAGAGGCTTCGGGAGTCAAGGGACTCAAGAAGGACGCCACGACGTCAGCTGATGGTGAGCCCCGCCAACATCTGAGTGAGAAGACGGAGGCAATAGCCTGTTGCGTTGTGTGCGGCGGACGGAGCGGCATCCCAGCGAGAGGCTCCGGGAGTCAAGGGACTCAAGAGGAACGCCGCGACGTCAGCTGATGGTGAGCCCCGCCAATATCTGCGTGAGAAGACGGCGGCAATACCCTGT